GTATTCCATTATGTAAATATATGCTAGATATTTTTTCTTTGTTCGGACATTGAGTTGACTCCAAATCTTGCTTATTGTGAATAAACACGAGTGTCTCTTTGAATACTGATTTCATTTCCTTTGGATAGATGCCTAATAGTGGGGCTGTGAGATTCATAAATATTATTTTAAGGGACCTCCCCAGGAAGACTACACATTTCAATTACATTGGCCCACATTTTCAGGCTACACCTCAGGTAGGATTTCAGTCATAAATATTCCCTGGTCCCTTCCATGGCTGCACACTGTGAAGCCGAGAGGCTTGTAAACACGACACAGCTTCTGACCTGAAGGTTGTTGCTGCCCATGGAGAACCAGGCAAAGAGCAAGCACAACAGAGGCCATGGATGCTCCCATAATTACCCTGCTGCTGTGTAACTCTTTCCTTGAGTCCGTGACTTGCTGAGGCCAGTGGAATGTGGGCCAGTGAGAAAGGGCCGGTTCCAAGCACAGCATTGCTGGCTTCTGCCCGCACTGCTCTGCCATTCCTGAGAATGGGTGTTTACTGCTTTAAGGATGCCGAGAGAAACATGGAGCCGACTGGGACTGCGCCTGTGTCTTGGCGTCATCCTCAGCCCTGCCTGGGCTTGGCTAGTTAGCCTCTTCATGACATCAAGACTTGTGAGGCAGAGCAAATGATCACCAGCATTGGGGATAATCTGCTAAGCTGCCTTGCTATAGCAACGGTTAGCTGGTATAACCAGCAGTTGTGTGGTATAGTGTGAGAAGGGCCACAGGGAGATTTAGATGAGCAAATGGTGGACCGTTCTTAGGGGAGGAATGCTTCATGAACTTGTATATGATATTCACTTTTTGGATACTCATTCATTCAAGATACTCTTGCCCTCTCCCCCAATACTTCAGATCAGGAAGTTAGCAGTGTGTAGAGTCTCTAAGTGCAGGTCAGAATTGTGTAAAGGAAAAGTCACTCTCCAGAGAACTCATTTGTTCCTCGGTGTCTATGGGTCATTGACTTAAGGATCTTCTAGATACTGAAGACTGAGGATTCTCAAAGTCCTTATAAAAGATGGTACAATATCTGTTTATGAGTTGCATAATCCTCCTGTATACTTTGAATCATATCTATGTCACTTATGACATCAAACACAAAGCAAATGTTAACTGTGTAGTTGTTATAATATCTGGCTTAGGGAATAACAAGAACTATGTCTTTGTATGTATAACAGAGATGCTGAGAAAGAATAAGAAAGGCCAAGTTTCCCAACCATGTTTTCTTACTTTAAAAAGTAGTCTTAGCAAATAGGCACTTCAGATACAATACCATTCTGTGAAAGAGAGGGAAGGTGGGAAGAAAAGCCCTGAGTACAGGCCTTTATGAAGTATCAGGACTCTCTTCTGTCATGGGTCTGTATGGGTACAAGTCTCCAAGCCCCCTAGGTCTATAACTCCCTAACTCAGACAGGCAGACTCACTCCCCAATCTGGTACCTCACCAAAGTCTGTCCTCTGTTCAGATTCCTCCTCCTCCCATACAGAAGGCTGTATTTGGGAACGCAGCAAAGATGTGTAATTATTTTTTCAAACCCCCTTTTCTGTTGGAATTTAGAAAAAGCAAAACTCTCTAGAAAGGAATTCCAGTCGCATGTCTTGAAGCATATCTCTGAGAGGGCACAGGGATCTAGCTGCTTGCTGACTGCAGGTTGGAGTCATCTGGGGCGTGGGGTGGGGAGAATGAATACTGATTTGGGGAACTCTTTCAACTGCAATTTCTCAGGGTGTTAGGTACTTTTTGAAAGCTTCCAGGTGATTCTAGGACACAGCAATGCTGAGAAACATGAATCCAAGTGGGGACTTCCTGAGAAGACACCTGTGAATCAGAATCTGGGGCACAATAGTCTCCTCACTTACCATGTGCTAAGCGAGTTAGTTAATGCACGGCAAGTCCTGGTTAGACGCCTCTGAAGACACCAAGGGCTAAGGGGTAAAGGGCTGTCACCTCCACTCACGGTTTCCATGTACTTCAGCAGGACCATCTTAGTAAAAATGCTTGGCCCTGCTTCCAAGTACAATATGCAATCACACTGACATTCCAGCTTTCAAGTTTTGAGGTGTTTCTTCCTCTTTGACCACCTACCCCCTTTACCCCATCTCTAATGAGACTGAGGTCAGGAAACCAGCTAATACTCTACCCCAGGCAAGATAATCAGTCTCCATCTTTGGAAATGACAAATCGAGACAGAGGAATGATCAAGGTGCAGGTAGGTCTCCCTTTCAGCAATGGATATGACCCAATGTTAAGACAGGTTTGGAAACTTCTCAGAGAGTTTGACTTTTGTCTTGCCTTGGAGGTGTGTTACTACCGCACTATGGACCAGCAACCAACACGTGGCCACATAGATAATGTTCAGCGACCCAGAGAAGATGTAGTTCTCTATGTGGGTCCCCACTGAGACCTGGAGAATTCCACTTTGGAGCTAGGCAGAGAACAGAATATCACATGACCCATGTTTCTGAAAGACTGAAGGGCTTTAAGGTCAAGCCTGTTCCACTACAATCAGGTTAGGCCTTCTTGAACCTTTATCCGGGCACTCCTGAAAACAGGCCAACACTGTCTCAAGCTCAGTGGAAAGAGGGGCTTCAGTAGCTACCCATCTTATGACACAGGCTGCCCCAGGTTCTTACAGGAAGCTACACAGCTTGAGGCTGACTCTGACCCTTTGTCAGCTCTGGTAGAGGCCTTTAAGGCTTATAACCACAGAGTAAGTGGAAGGTGTGAGAAGAATAGGAGATTAGAGAAACCTGTGAAGCTCTGGCTTCCCTGACTTGACTGCTACCTCAGGGCAACCCCACACGGTCCCGGAAGATCTACAGCCAGCTCCAATAGGAACAGGGACACCAGGTCAGACCCAGGGTGCTACTGTTAAAGGAAGGGAGTCTGCTCTCTCTGGTCGCCCCAGAGAGGGCAAGCTGAGTGGCATCCCACACTAAGCCCAAGCTCAGGTCTGGTCCCCTAAGGGGGGATGTCACCACCTGGACTGAAGAGGCTCTACCACCTTCCCCACAGAATCACTATCACACCAGCAGAGCCTTGACTTGCATAACCCTTGACGGGCAAACAGGGAAGCAGTTTTATTGTCAATAGAGTTTCTTGTTCTATCCTAACCCAACTTCTTGGCCCTCATTCCAATATCAGCTGCCCGATGATGGGTGTTAAGTGGGCAGCCTAAGGTAAGGAGTTTTACTTTCCTTCCGGTGGGCACCTGCTTTGATTTCTCTTTAGAGAGAATGGATAGTAGGTTTCTGTAGAGCCGGAAGAGTCTTCGTCAGCCAGCTTGCTCTGATGATCCCAGTTCTAAATTCATAGACACTCCTAAAAGACAGTCTATGAAAATATATCTTGGCTCTGGGATTGCCAGTGGGATTTCTTGGACATGGACTCCATAGACCCCACCCTTGTCCATGAAGATAAAGGGGAGCACCATCTCGGGTCCCTGGGACCCAATATTTATCCAAAATTGGAATCTCTTCAGAGCCACAATCGTGCGTGCCTTCTCACGGTGTGATGAGGACCCACAGGTAGCTACTGCGCTTCCTCAGGGTTGGGGACAGCCTCCATCTATTTTGGCAATGCTTTGGCCAAACTACTAAGAAAATTATTCTAAGAAAGGGGAGTAGGCTGCAAACAGAGATAAGAGTCTTTGTTAGGGTCCAGGAGACAATTCTGTGCTCCCCAGGTATGGCAAACTATAGGTTTCTAACCTGTACCCACCCTCAGGAGAGGCATCAGGACCACATGTCACCAGGACAGTCGAGGAGCGATTTCTATGCCTCTGGCCTTTGAGTGGCCAGAAACAGATAATGTCAGCTGGGAGCTGTTAAAAGTCTCAGCAGATAATAATCTTGAGGGTGGAGGGTGGGACCAGAGAGATGAAAAAAGTGCTGATTTCTCAATCTCGCTTTCTATCTTTAATGAGAACCAGGCTCTGCGGGATCACGCTATTTAAGCCATTTCCCTCACAGAGGGACTTCAGTTCTGAGCAGTCCCGGGTGTCCAAGGCAAGCATCTCTGTTTGTATAGGCTTCCATCCTGCCCCTTCAGAGTGATCCGGGGACTCTAGCCTGTGTTCTGCTCTCTTATGCCTACCCGAACATAATCCCTACCAAGGCCTCCCTCAGATGGAGTTGCTTGCCTTCTTTCTACCTTGAACGGAGCAGAAGAACCCACAGCTGAGGAGGCATTGTAGCTTCCTGTGAGTTGTGGCCCTGCCACTGGCAGGGCGAACAGGTAACAGAAAGGGCTGAGTGGATGGGTAATAATGAGAGGCATCCCTGTTACTGATTTTCCATCCATGATCTGTTAAATCTGACCACATGGAACCAGGAAAAGCTCCATGACAAGTAAAACCTGAGGATCTTTTGGCTTCTAGTGATTTGTTGAATTGTTCAACAAGCGAGTTGGGGTTCAGTAGGACAGTGACTAAAATGAAGGGAGTCTTCATCGACATAGAGTGTGTGTGTGTGTTCAATGAAGAATTGTTGCAGAAGACCACGGAGCCAGAGAGGAGGATGTGGAGGGTGGCCTGGGGTCAGAAAGTGGTGCAAGGTTCATGCTGAGGGTGAGGAGGGGCCTCACGTAGAGAGTGGTGTGTGGGCACACGCCTGGAGGAGGAAAGAGTGCAAACAATGGCCCAGGGCTGGAGCTGCGGAGGTGCATTTCTGGAGAGACAGACACTTGGGACCTGAAATTTCCATTCCAGGTAGGTCTGTGGGAGGTGCCTGGGCTTTTAATGTCAGGCATGTTCAGAAATACAGCCACAGGGAGACAGATACAAATAGTTTGAATTTTCTTATTCAAAAATCTCTAGACCAAATGTTCCCATTGTCAGGTGCAGTTTCAAGACCCTGTTCTGTCCTCCACCTCCCACCCACTGCCCCAGGACCATCTTCCCATGGAAACTCACACTCCTACCAATGCCTCTTTCTCCTCTTGTAGGCTCCGAGAGTCCCGTGCCCCCGGGAAGTTGGTGCGGACAATGTTCATCTTGTGTGTGTTGGTGACTGGGGTCTCTGCTCTCACCACTTCATCAGTGGTGCACACAGAAGGGGTTTCTGGATCTCCCATTTCATCAGAGAAGCACACAGGTAAGAAACAACCACTTCAGCTGGGAAGGGGTTGGACCCAGTGTGTCTGGGGAACACAGTTCTCCAATGGGGTTCTGCTCACAGACAGCAAACTGTAAATATTTAGATCATGGCCGATCGATCTGCCCTTATTCAAAGATACATTTGTTATGGAGTTTGAGACCCCTAGAAAAAGACCACAAACTTAATCCAGGTTGGAATTAGTTAAGTCTATTGAAGCTGTTAGCAGGACAGGAATCTCTGGGCCAAGCTCAAGCCTGCTGCTCCAAGGAGGGTAAGGGAAGAGTTTTTAAAGATGAAAACTGCAAGAAGACCTTGAGTATCTGCACAGGCAAGCAGAGAGTGTTCTGCTCCACCAAGATTAGGTAATCAAGGTGACCGCAAAATAGTCCTTGAATGTCTGCATAAGAAGGTTGCAGAAGCAAAAAAAAAAAAGCAGTCAGTCATATCATAAAAGTCATGGTCATGGGTGTATATTTCTGGGTGAGATTCACTGAGTCAGGGTTACTGAGAATTTATCTTCCAGGGACTGGAGTCAGAGACAAATGGCTAGTGGGTATCAAAGGTGGAAGCTTAGCATAAAAAAGTTTCTTTTGATCACAACCAATCTGTTTTATCTGTATTTATATAGTTCAACTTTTAATATCAACAAATGAAAAAAATATGACCATGTATTTAAATCTTTAAAAACGATTTAAAATTTTGTTTTTATTTGTGTGTGTGTGTGTGTGTGTGTGCGCGCGCGCGCGCGCGCTTGCGTGCGTGTGCACATGCACCCATGTGTGCAGGTGCCCTAGAAGGCCAGAAGAGAGTGTCAGATCTCCTGTAACTAGAGTTACAGATGGTTGTGAGCCTTCTGATGTAGATGCTGAAGAATGGCACTCTAGCCCCCTCCCCTCCCCCCCCCCCCATTTTAAAAAAATCATATTGTGAATCCAATTTAGCTGCCTCCTCAGGATGAAAATTGAAATTGATGGTCCCCAGTTATCATTTGGGGAGTCTAAAGCATAGAAACAGGGGGCACTGCTCATGGGACCCGGGGTGCAGGTCATTTTGTTGGGAACACACAGAATCTTACATAGATCACATTGTGTATCCTTCTGTTGGGGCCTCCCTCAGTTTGGGGGCTTGCGGTTTGGTGATGTGAGCAGGTTTGGGACCTAAAGTCTACTATCTCTGACCATCAGTGCCTGGAGACAACTGCCGATTTCGTGGCAGGGATTTCAAAGCTGAATTCAGGCTGGAAGGCGAGCCCGTGGCTCTGAGGTGCCCCCTGATATGGCCTCATTCGGATGCCTCTGCCAGCTCCCACACCCTTCTGACCTGGCGTAAAATGAACTCCTCTCAGCTGGTCCCAGGAGATGAGGCAAGGTTGTGGGTTGAGGATGCCACCCTCTGGGTTGTGCCAGCAGTGCAGCAGGATTCTGGTACCTACATTTGCACATTCAGGTAAGACACTCTGGGACTGGGGCAGTGTGGCTCCAGACATTGGAGTCCAAGGTTTCCAGCATCACATGATGGTCTCCTTGGTGTCCCTGCAGAATCCCTGTGCCCAGTAGGATTTATTTATTTATTTTGTTAACTTGACATGAGCTAGCTTCATGGAGAAAGGAAACTCCATTGAGGAATTGTCTCCATCAGATTTCCTTGTAGGCAGTTAATGTGGGACACTTTTTGATTAATGATTTATATAGAAGGGCCCAGCCCACTGTCTTAGTCAATGTTCTATTGCTATGAAGAGACACTATGACTATGGCAACTTTTATAAAAGAAAGCATTTAATTGGGGCTTACTTATAGCTTCAGAGGTTCTAGTCCATTATCACCACAGTGGGAAGCATCATGGCATGCAGGCAGACATGGTGCTGGAGAAGTAGCTGAGAGTTCTACATCTGGATCCACAGGCAGCAGGAAGAGACCCTGGGACTGGCTTAGGCTTTTGAAACCCCAAAGTCCACCCTCCAGTGACATACTTCCTCCAACAAGGCCGTACCTACTCCAGTACGGTCATGTCTCCTAATCTGTCTCAAAATAACACCATTCCCTAACAACCAAGTTTTCAAATATATGAGCCTCTGGGGGCCATTCTTTTTCAAACCACCACCCTCACTGTGGGCAATGCCAGCCCTGGTCTGAAGGTTCTGGATTGTGTAAGAAAGTAGTCTGAGAAAGCCATGCGGTATTCCTCCATGGCCTCTGCTTCAGTTCCTGCCTCGACTTCCCTTCATGATGGACTGTATAAGCTGTGAGCTGAAATAGACCCTTTCCTCTCCAATTTGCTTTTAGTCATGATGTTTATCAGTGATAGAAAGCAAGCCAGGACATTATTATAGCTCCCTCCTTCCCTCCCTCCCCTCTGTGGTGTATTTGATCTCTGCTCAAATGTCACCTCTCTGGAGAGAACTCCCCAGTCATGTTAGCTGGCACAGCATTTGGTTCTCTCTCCTTACCCTCATGTTATTATTATTATTATTATTATTTTCTGATGAAGTTTTCCCTACCAGGGGAACATGACATTTGTCTACCGTCAGAACATGAGTCCCAGAAAGATGGGGACCTGCTTTGTGCTCTTCACCGATGACTCCACATGGCAGAGAAACGAGACATGAATGGGATGTCCCAAGGAGAATTTTAAAACAGGATGGAGTCTTAGAAGTAGATGAGTCCAGTTGACTATTACATAGATAAGGGAAATCCATATGCATGGGAAGTTCTTCTGGGGCAGGAGGAGGGGATACACCATGAATCTGGACCAATATTCCCTATTTTATGTCCCCATTGCTTTTGGAAAAAGTTGTTGTAACATACATATAACATAGACCCTACCATGTCAACTATCTTTAAGTGTGCAGCTCAAGCAAGTTAAGTACTTCCATACTGTTGCAAAACCATCATCATCGTTCACCTCCAGAACTTCCTCTTCTTCCCAGACTGAAGCTTGGTCCTCATTAAACTGCAGCTGTCCATCTGTTCCTCACCTCCAGCCCCTGACAACCACGATTCTACCCTCCGTCTCTATAGATCTGCCTCTGTAGATGCTCCATGCAAACATTACAGCCCATGTCTGAATTCCCTCCCTTTTCAAGGCTGATCGTTGCTGTTTTATGGTGCAAACATCCTACTGTCTGTCTGTCCATTTGTCCTTCCGTGAACACTCAGATGTGTTCTGCTTTGTGCCTATCTTCAGTAACACCATTATGAATAACTACACAAGCTTTTGGTCATGTTTCTGGATCACCTGGCAATTTATATCTGTTCTTACTATTTTTTTTAGGAACTACCAATCTGTTTTCCACAGCAGCACATTGACTTCCATCCCCACAGGGGTCCTGATGATCTCCATTCTTGGCAATGCTGGTTGCTTTTTATTTTTCACAGTGCTGTTCTAATGTGTGTGAAATGGTGACTCATGTCCTTGATTGTAGTTTCCTGGGGTTTCAGCTCTCCATGTCTTTCTTGGCCACTTGTGTATATTTCTTGGAGAAATGGCAACTCAAGCTACTCAAGTCCTTGCCAGTTTTGAGAACGGCACTGTTTATTGCTTGCTATTGAGTTGAAGGAGTTTGGGATGTCTACACCTTATTAGCTGTATGACTTGGGGATACCTTATCTTACTCTCTGGCTTGCTTATTCACTCCATCGATAGTGTCCTTTGCAGAAATGCATTTATATTTTGGTGAGTTCTAAATTATGTACTTTCCCCCCTATTGTTTGTGTTCTCTGGGGTTAGGGAATCACAGATGAATTCGAAGTGATAAAGCTTTCCCCTGCATTTTCTTCCTACATGATATGTTCTTCCTATGTGTTTAATTCCTATGTTTCAGGTGCCTGGTACGTTTTTGAGCTAATTTTTGCATGCGATGTGAGGCAAGGGTCTGGCCCTGGTTTTGCATGGGGCTTTGCTCCTTTCTCAGCACCATTTGTTAAAAAGATGGCTCTTCCTTCAGTGGTTGGTGTTGATGTACCCTGCTGCTTCTTGAAGGGTGAAGTTGTTGGCTGCACGTTGACGATCTTAATCATTGCTGGTACAGTTCTTCTGAAAGGGTTAGGACACACCCTTGACCTGACAGGAGAATCGCCTTCCCTCTCCAGATGGCTACTTCTGTTCCCCGGCCTCTGCTTACTCCACCCACCTGCTGGCTTTAGAGACCTTCTAGATTTCATTAACTCATTTATGGAGAGATCGCCCAGGATATTGACACTTAGAAGGAGGTCCAGACAAGCTGGTGTTCTTAGCAGGAATGGAGGAAGCTCAGACAACACCAGACCCAGTCTGAGGTGGGGTGTGTAAGAAACATGCATGTGTTCATGGCATTGAACATTCTTTCAGATCAAATCCAGCTTGGCACTATGGTCTGTGTGGCTCACTCCCCCTATAAATAACTTAGAGACGGGTTTAGACCTGTCGACTCTTGCTGAGGAAGCAGGCCAGGGATCTCTTATTCCTTGTATTGGGGAAATGGGAACATCTAATTTTGCAGCTTCTTTTCTGCTAGGTTTTCATTTGACTTTCTCTGAGGAATACTCCCAGGAAAATTAGGAAGTGTAGTAGAAAAAAAAAAAAAAACAACAACTACTGAATCTGGAATCAGACATAAATGGGAATTTTAGCTGCCTACCTCCCACCCCTACCCTATATCCTGACACTCAAGTCTCAGTTTTCTCCCCCCTTGAGAGCTTTGTTGGGAGGGTTGAATACGCTAACCGCAGCATGGGAAGGATCTGGTGTACGGAGACTCCTGGTCTTTGACCAATAGGAGCATGGAGCCCCTGCAGGGCGACTGCCTAGAGGTACAAGTGTTAGGGAGGGGTGAACAGAAGCATGTTGGCCTTGTAGTTAGTTTTTATGCTAGATTAAGAGTTATAGCTAATGCCCTTATTTTTTGCAGGGAAAAGGGGAGCACTGAGATTAAGGTGGGGTGGTGAAGACCTCGGTGTTTAAGTGCTCCTTGCCTGGGGGAATGTTTGCCTTCTCTTCCAACTGTGTAATACTGGGCTTCAACCAGAGTGGAAATCTCCAGCCACTGCTAGAACAAACTTTAGCATTTACAGTTCCAGGACACGAGTCTGCCCGGCTCTTCTATGTTTGTGCTCTTGCTATTGGCAACTTACATGACCTTTCTCTCTCGCTCAGAGTAGTCAAAACAATGTTGCCAGGACAAACAGTCCTCAGCCTTAATGTTTTGCCCAAGGGGGAAATAATGGAATGAAAAAAATGGAAAAATAGAAAAAAAACTGGAATAAATACCAGATCAATAATACGAACAAGCTTGGGACTTGCAATATGTCTGGCAAGCTTGGGTTCTAGAGACTTCTCGTAGTTTATGGGATTTCCAAGAGCATTTGATTTTTGCCTTTTAGTAGCTATAGAGACTTAGAAGATTACTTAAATTTGAACTTAATTTACTTTAGTTGAAAACACTATAATAATATGTACATACACATATATATGGTTAATTTAAGGTTACTTAAATGTGTACTTAATTTACTTTAGTTGAAAGCACTGTAATAATCATGACTCTCATAAATATTACTCACCTGATGATCACTTCGCTAAAACTAGCTACTGCGAGCACTCTCCAGACTTCTCATTTGCCTCTCTTCAATTTGTAATGTGATGATTCATTGGACAACTTCATACACATATTTACTGAATGGTGGTTGTTTTCATTCCCCATTACTGTCCTTCATCCCCCTCTTTTTTTCCATTGAAATCCCTTTTCTTCCCCCAAATCCTCTTCCAACTTTGGTGTCTTTTTGTGTGCACGACCCATTATGTTTAATCGTGGTTGCTTGCATAAAAGCATGAGTGGGTCGTTACTTACTAGTGGAACATGGGAAATTTATCAGTGGCCGCACCATTGGAGAAAAGGACAGCTGCTTCCCTTGGGACCCGTTCATTGCCCACAGTTCTTCTTCAGTGAGGGGTGGGCCTCAGGAGCTCCTCCCCAGTGCACTGTGCAATTGTAACCAGCCCGATCTTATACAGGTGACCACAGCTGCTGCAAGTTCATGGACACAGTGGCTGTGTCACTGCTGTTTCGCGGCATTACCCCAACCTCAGGGTCTTAACATTCTTTCCATCTCTTCTTCTGCAGTGTTCTCCGAGTCTGGGTGCTATGAATGTCCTGCTTAGGGCCAAGCTCCATAGTCACCTCTTCTTTACACTTGTACCAGCATTGAGTCTCTGTGTTGCCACTCACTGCAAAAGGAGGCTTCTCTGATGAAGGCTGAGAACAGCGTTCATCTATGGGTATAAACATAAATATTTAGAAGGCAGTTTGACATCATGCCCATTTACAAAACAAGAGTAGCAAGTTTCCTCGTAGGACCTATGACCTCTCTAGCCTTGGAGAATAGGCTTATGGAACCAAGCATGCATTTCCTCCTGTGGAGGAAGCCTCCGATCTAACCAGAGAGCAGCTGGTTAGCTCCATAAGAGCCATGCCATTCTTAGATCAGTGGGCATATCTTGCCAGACAGGAAGCTGTAGCTTATGGGGTCCACAGCCAGTTAGACTGGTGGTGACTTTTCTCCTCCCACAGTTTGCAAAGCACTCTCTGGCACTGCGAAGGCTGGCCAGTGGGGAGGGAACTTCCAGCATAGATCCAGCTTGATTTCTCAATGCCCTTCAAATCCCAAGTGTGATTACTCATTTTTTTTTTTAAAGTGGGAGTTAACATTCTGTATTTTCTTTGTGCATAAATTGCCCATCTAATTTAATTTTTCTTGGTTTTATGTTTGTAATTCCTTTTTAAAGCTTTCATTCAGTTAAGTGATTATCAAATCTCTCATGTATATCTGTCGTATGTTATTGCTTCTTTGGATGTATACTGTTAGATTTTCTTGTGAAAGTAACTTTTATACTATATTTACAGTTGATTCTCATGGTCTCAGTTGATGTGTTATTCATCTTAAGTAGCTGTTCATCTTAGGGTCTTAGCTGATACAATTATATTTTTTCTGTTTTAGTTTGTTCCATTTTTTTGGATGGTGCAAATTAAATGCAGAGCCTTATCCACACTAAGTGCATGCATGCTCTACCACTGCTCTTGCTTCTAATCCCTTGTTCTTCTATTTTAAACATTAAATTTATTAATCTCTTCTATCCTTCATCCATTTCCCCTCGTATTTCCAGCAATGTTTTTGCCTACCCCTGGCCTTTTCTCAGTTCTAAGGGCTTGATGGAATCACAATAGTAGGGTTATGGGTGGGGCTGACAAACACGTAAAAACATCTTACCAAATTACTTGTGTGTTCCTCCCCCCCACCCCCGTCATGCATTTTTGTTCGTGTCTTTTAAAGCTCAAACACGAAGTTCTCAGCAGTTTTCTGAAACTAGAAATCAGTTGGTAAAGGATTCCTCGGGAAGGAAAGAGGTTTTTCTTTAATGGAGACAGTGGTTCTTGGGAAACCATCTGTTTCGGCATGGTTCCTTGGATCATATCCAGGCTGGGTTCAAGGTTCTCAATTTTTGAATCCCTTTGGAGAAGACTTGGGGGTTTCTTAGTGTCCTGGGCTCTGGAATGAAGCTTCTGTAGGGCCCTTCATGAAAAAGCACAGGACACACAGCTTCTTTATCGCAGTTAGGATGTGAAGCTTTTTATATCCCAAGAACTTAGAGCAATCGGGAGTTAAGCAATAGTCATCAAGACAATGCAGGCAGGGTTGAATGGGGTGGGGAGTTGTTCTCACGTGCATTAGCTTTTGTCCTTCTGTCTGGCCGTTCATTGCCTCTTTCTTTTCTTTTTTTTTTTTTTTTCTTGATAAACAATTAGAAACACATCTCACTGTGAGGAAATGTCCGTGGAACTCAAGGTGTTTAAGGACACTGATGTGTCTCTGCCACTTGTCTCCTACTTGCAAATCTCAACTGTCTCAGCCACCGGGTTACTAGTGTGCCCTGACCTGAAAGAATTCATCCCCAGCAAAACTGGTGGAAGAGTACAGTGGTATAAGGTATGCTTCAAAACGTGTCCGCCACTAAAACATGTCTTACAGCCCATAGGACACATACGCAAAACCTGTTTGAAGACAATACATCCATGTAGACACACATACACTTCCATGTTTAGAATTATAATATTAATTAAAATGGTGGTGATTAGTATTGTCTGGTTTTTCTGTGGTTTGAGTAAGGTTCATGTAGATAGACTTATGAAGTGATTCCAGGGTAAATAGCTGCAAAAGAGCTTTTGACTGTTAGGACACAGCCATACCATCAGGTCATGGATTGTCTGTGTACCACTGAACAGTTGTGACAGAGACCAGGTAGACTGATGGCTTTAAAACATTCCCATCTGTCTCTTATCTGAAAGAACTTGCCAACCTCTGATCTAGATCATAGAGTGATGCTGAGAAGTCTAGTATTCGTTTAGTCATTGATAAGAATTGGTCCTTTAATCAATAGGTTAACCAGTTGACTAGTATTATAATGACAAAATGCACATGTGTGCATGGGCACACACACATTTATACATGTCACAGCAATTCAATACTGTAAACTTTAAAATGTTTTTCTGAAAGTAGTTTGTGTACAAGCCTGGTGAGCTGGAGAGGGCCCTCGCTAGGTTTAGAAAGAGTGATTGCAGGAAGCACCTGGCACGGTACTTACTTCTATCCCATGTTTAGTAAAGGGGGCTAGCATGACGGCATTAGCAATAGCTGCTCCATCCGTGGTCATGCTGAGCATTTCTGAGTATGTACTATGATGAGCATGTTCCAACCTCAATAAATAGCTTAACGCGGTAGGAACTGCTCATCTCTTTCCTTTACAGATGACAGGAACAGAAGAAACTGACCCAAAGTCTCAGTTTGCAGAACAACTGTGATATCATGCCCTGTGTCCATGTTTGTCTATTCATGCTAGGAGCTGTAAAATCCTGTCCTTTAATGAAGTGTATTTGACGACAAGTCACTGGCTGTCTCAGACAAGTCATTTGTCTGTGTTCCACCCAGAGTGTGATTGTGATGTCACTCAAGGTTATGTTTGATTACTAAAACCTTTGAGTTTTGATCACATTTTCTTTTTCCCTCTCTCCCTCCCTCTCTCCCACCCTCCCTTCTTCCTCAGCCCCTCTGCCTCATTCCTCCTCCTCCTTTCGACAGGGTTTCTCTATGTAGCTCAGTCTGGCTTCAAACTCATAATCCTCCTGTCTCAGCTTCTCCAGTGCTGAGATTACAGGTACACAACAACATGCATAGGTTTATCATGGTTTAGAAAGCAATATTCTTGAGGACATGGTATGCTGAGGATTGTTCTCACCCTGTATACTTCTCCTGTTTTACTGGAGGCCTTGCTCTCGAGGGTTCTGTTTGCAGGGAACCTACCGGACTCCGTGTCCATATGAGAAGACGGACCCCAGCTCCCCTGTTTATTTAATTAAAAATGTTCTCTCTTGTAGTAAGTCCTGAAATTGAAATGATTTTTAAAGAAATTCCTGCAACATGCTCCCTTCCCATCCTTGTTCTTCGGGTTTTCATGTTAGATCTTAAATATATTTGTACTTAAATGGCCTAAAATAAGTTAATCTTAAAAAAAAATCAGATGGTAACAGATTCCTTCTCCTAAACTGGGTATGGGGGCACATCCATATCCTCCCAGAATCCAGAAAGCTAAGGCAGGAGAATTAGGAGTGTAAGGCCAATGTGGGCTACATGATAAGATCCTGCCTCAAGAAAAAAAAAAAATCATTTTCCTAAAAATTCAGCTAAAGGTGTTCCCCAAAGACAAAATTGTCAATGTAAACATGTACCAGGGAAATTCTTGGGTTGTAGGCTCTACATTGATTGACAGTGATGATATGATCCGAGTGCTTGAGAGTTACGTTATTCTATGATGTAACTTTATTATACATTTCCCCTCAAGGGCTCTGTCCTCTTGGATAAAGGCAATAAGAAATTTCTAAGAGCAGGGGACCCCACACGCTTGCTGATAGCCAACACATCCATGGAAGACGCGGGCTATTACAGATGTGTTGCGACATTTCTCCACAAGGGCAAGGAATACAACGTCACTAGGAGTATTGAACTCCGGGTCAAAGGTAAATACTTAACCACTGAGGTACCTGCCATGCCTAGAAGCAGCATAATGAGAAAAAATTCAGAATCACATAGAAGCCCTGGAATGTCTTTGGCATAAAGGAAAAGAAAAACGTGTGTGTCAACTAGTCTAAAGGTTACTAAGACATGTGCAAGATACTTTGAACAGTATCTACCAGGGAGTTCTGAGAGAAGGAGAATTAATTCTTCGGCAGGTAAAGGGTTAAAGTGGGTATTTGAAAATGGCAAGCCTAAAACTCACCACTAGAGGAGGCCAAACCCAGGTGTCCTTCTGGAAAATGGAAGGTGCAAACTGAGCCGGTCAGGACACACTTGCCATGCCCTAGTATATACTTCTAAGGTCCAGAGATTTTACTGTGGTGGTTCTCAGCCTGCCGGTTTGACCCCTTTGGGGGTCACGCATCAGATATCCTGCGTATTAGATATTTACATTAAGATACGTAACAGTAGAAAAATTGCAGTTATGAAAGTAGCAATGAAGTTGTGTTATGGTTGGGGGTCACCACAACATGAGGAGCTGTATTAAAGGGTCTCAGCATTAGGAAAGTCGAGAGCTGCTGTTTTGCTGGGTTTTTGGCCAGAGTGCTATGCATGGACATGGCCCGTTCAAAGTGCCCTGGCTGTTGTCTGTGGAGTATATGTCTAGTGGCCCTTCGTTCAGGTTGAGCACTACCTGACTGAAAGTTGACCGCAAAAACCTGCAGAATCTTAATTTTTTTCCCCCAAAGAATTGGCATGTTTGCACTGGCATAATGAAATATATTGGGGATAGGTACAAGTTTAAACATGACATTGGTTTATGCTTCACATATATTTTTACGCATAACCCAAAAATAGTTTGATGTGATGTTTTATTATTATTTTTCTTTTTGAGACAGGGTCTCAGGCTGTTCTTAAAATGACTATGTGGTCCAGGGGCTATAGCCTGGCTTCTAACTAGAGAACCTACTGTAGCCTTCCCATGTTGAGATTACAGATGAACGCCACCAAGATGGCTATCACAGTATTGTAAATAACTCTGTGCATAAAACCAAGTTTCACAGTATGGAATTTTCCATGCATGGCATTAATTAGTGCCCAATAAATTTCAGATTTTAGAGTACTTTAGATTTTGAAAACCTGGAGAAGGGATGCTCAGCCTATACCAGGATAGATTATACGTAAAAAGAATGTGGTAGGCCGGGTCAGGCAGCATTTAACAGCCGCTTCATGTCCATCCCACCTCTTCCATGCTGGAGAGGAAGCTAAGTGAGAGGAGAATAAAATTTGTGAGCCACAGACTCTGTCCTGGAGAATATGCAGCATTTCTTTATACTGAGGAGCAGACACAATTCAAGTCTTTAATTAAAGGTGGACTTCAGAGAGCTTTGGAAACATTGGGGGTTAAACAAGTTCTGTGAAGGGAAAATAACTTCTCTCACAGAACCCAGAGATTCATTTGTATCATAAAGAATATCTTATCCTCCATGAACCCAAGCCTCTGGGTTATCCTTTTTTTTTTTTCCCCTGTCCTGTGAGAACTCCTTGCTAATTTCAAAGTAGTGCTTGAGAACATTCTTCATGGCTTGTTTGTGTGATACTGTGTAGAAACACTAGGGGGCGGCAGACCTGCACTTTGTACTGAGCTGTGAAACTGGGGAGGCTCAGTGGTTCTCAAATGGTGACCTTGAACCAGAAGCAGCAAGGTCACCTGAGTACACCTCCCACACAGAATCTGAGTAGTCCCCACGCAGAAGAATCTAAGGTCCTGTGCAGATCTGCTAAACTGGAGCTTGGGAGTTGAGGCGCTGAACTCTGCATTTCCCAAGCCCTTCCCCCTCAAGGCCTTGCAGGTGCACCCTCAAGCTGGGGAACCATCCCTGAGGCTGGTCTTTCTTCCTTGATTGTCCCAGCCTTGTTATAGGTAACAATGCCACTTTCCCAGTGGAGAAGCCATCTGCCCCTTAAGTTGCACTGTCCACTCAGCAGGTGCTCATTTCAGTGCTCTTTAGCAGATGAAAGGGGACTCTTGAGGCCAGTTGAGGGATGGCTTCCAACCCCTCCCTCCCTCCCCAGCTGTCCTTTCTGCTCCATGTCAGGTGCCCAGTTCCTCAAGCTGGTTCAAATCCCTCAGAGGTCCACTCCAGCCTCCCTAAAGAGTTTATCTCCTTAGTGAATAAGACATCAGTGACCAGTGTGGGATTAGTTTCACACACGGGCAACTTTCCAACCCCTGTGCCTGCTCTTGAAGAAGTGGATCTTTAGTGTTGATGGGTAGGGCAGACCTTTAGGCAAAAGCCATCCTGTGGATATCATCAGTGTGCATTCAGGAAGCCTGGGAGAGGACTAGCTAATTGTTCATCACAGAGCAGATAAAAAAGACATCTGTCAGAGGAATGTGTAACTGTGGCCTCTTCCAGTAATGTCTCTGCCGGGAAAAGTATTGGCTTAAGATACTCAGTTTTACAGAGAGCCCATTTCCGTTGCCAGACAAAGGCCGATTCTCGAAATGCCTGGCCACATGGGGAAGGATCACTTAATTAGCTAAACAATGGAATTCAAATCTCAGCTCGAAACCGAGCCTTCCCTAACGCAATCTTTTCTTTCCCACCTTCTCAGAAACAACCACGGAGTCCATCCCTGTGATTATTTCTCCCCTAGAGACAATACCAGCATCTCTGGGTAAGGATCTGCATCCCATGTGCCTATCTGAGGTTTGGGGGCCTGTGTCTGCTGACCACACCATGCCTTTGAGTGTAGAGTGTTCGAGGGGAGCCCAGAAGCCACAATATGTAGGAGCTGACATAAGCAATGTAGGGGACCTCTGTCTTTGCCAACTACTTTTAGGATTACATTTGAGAGCAATGACACTTTATGTTCTCAAAGTTATACCTACAAAAAGCTAAATGTAATGAGGCAAATGATTTGGTCACAGTTATTCACTGTAGGAAAGAGTCCACAGAGCCGGTATATTTAGTATATTTAACTTAATTCATGTTCTCAATATTTAGGAGCTGCTCAGAATCCCTGTAAGAATCCATTTGTCAAACAAAGCCAGCAGCAGCTGCAGAGACGGTTTCTTGTTATCAGAGTAGCTGCAATAGCCGTTTAATGGTCTGATAAAAAGGGCTTTCCATTTCCACCCTATGCCGCTGCAGAAAGTCCTGACCAGCACACTTGTTGGATGGTCCGTAGTGCGTGGCCAGTGCAGGCACATGAATGAACTGCACTAGACCCTTTTTGATGTTCATGGGAGGGAAGGGCTGGTCATTTATTGAGCATCTACTCTGACCAGTGGGCGCTCATGCCATGCCAACACCAACTCTCAAGGAAGGTTTTATTTCTACTATTTACCCCAAGGAAAAGCCACGGAGGAGTCATGGAGATACAGTGCACTTCAGAAACTCACACTTGGTATCAAGTTTGGATGCAGATTCTGGTCTGCATACCTGGGAAGCCAGCCGACATGTATATACCCTTTCTATGTGCTTGTTTTTTTTAGTAATATAGGTTTTTTTTTTAATAGTTCTGATATTCATTCATCAAGCCCTGGCTTCAGAGTCCTTTTTAAAACAAAACATTATTAATTCTGTTTAGTGTTGGGTTCAAATATTAAAGTTTAACCCCGAGGCCCTAGGAACAGGGGGCTCTTGTGCAGAGGTTGGAATTGGTTGTATCCCTTATGCTTTCCTATTGACCAGCTACTTGAAAGCCAGAGTAGTGGAGACAGTGGTTTGTAGGTACTGCCTGGCTCCCAGGTTTCCAGATCTCAGGTGCTACCCAGGCAGCTAAGTGAAGCCCAGTCCCAACCTGTTGCTTTGAAGGTACTGCTGTGAGTAATGGAGTCACGTGACTACTGTTTGTTTTGTTTTGTTGTCTCAGTTCTGGGCATAGGGCCAGACTTTCTCTACATTAGGCATGAATGGGCTATACTGTAGCAAGGGGTGGGAATGGTGAGTGTTTAAGGCCACAGGGACAAGAAGTGATGGAGGAGAGCTGATGCTCTCTCTGAGTGTGACACGGGACCAGACCTATTAACAGGCAAACTGCAGGAGGTGTATCTTAGGAGTAATATCTGAGTGAATGGGATTTGCTCTCCTTTTTCACTGTCTACTCTTTGGTGACTCAGAAAGAAAGATGAGTTTCTATGACTGAGGCAAGGCATTGGCACCATCCCGTCGCACAGTTGTATAGAAGTTGCCGTCCTTAGAATATGCAGTTGACTTTCAAAGGGTTAATTCTAAACTCGGGCCCTCTTGGAATGGAGCCTCCCATAGGGAAAGAGTAAAGCTAAGACCAGCAGTGGTCCGAAAGAAAGCATCACGTATGGCTAGATTTTCTGTAGTTAGAATCAGTGTAGAAGAAGACAGTCTTTGAGCATTGAAGGCTCCATAGGAACTGAGTGGCCTTGATGGGGCCATTTAAGTACATGTGCTTTGGGGCTTTTGCCTGCACAGACCAGTGGACAGTCTTGGAGACATTTGGTAAATAAGTATGCAAACTTTACTTGAGCAGAACCATTTGAGGAAACTAAATTTCCTCATAAGGAAGGGATTGACTTGTGAGGGGTGTTTGAAAAGACAAGGGAGGCCCTGTGTTGAGAGCTTTCTGAGAGATGTGAAGCAAAGTGGCCCCGTTTCCCTGCTGAGTTCTGATGGCTGATGTTTTATATCTTGCTATACCCAGGGTCAAGACTGGTAGTCCCGTGCAAGGTGTTTCTGGGAACTGATACATCTGACACCACCCTTGTATGGTGGATGGCTAACAGCACTTTTATCTCAGTGGCCTACCCAAGAGGCCGTGTGACCGAGGGGCTATACCAGTAAGTGGGTGAGGGTCTTCTGCTGTGATGTACTTCCTTCTGGAGATAATGTTACAATCAGGGCCTGTTAATATGACATAAAAGTTATGTTTAAAAATGTTACAAACTGTTGGGGATTTAGAACTTTAAAAAGTGAATTTTGCCAAAAATTATCTTGAGAACCAAACATTCTCTAGACTTGTATGAGTTGCGGTTTACTAGTTGACTCTTTGAACATTTATTTCTTGATTTTTTGCATGTTTAAAATATTTCAGAGTTGGTATATTTCCATTTCCCACTCTGTCACATTCATTACACATAAAGATTTTCATAAGTCCTCATAAACATTGTGAGGCCTTCCCATAGTATCTGTATTAGAATGGTAACATTGTAGCTTGATGTGTTCTAAAGGAGAGAGAGAAAGAGAGAGAGAGAGAGAGAGAGAGAGAGAGAGAGAGAGAGAGAGAGAGAGAGAATATGAATTAGTTGTGTGTAAGCATCCATCTCTTGAATAGGTTTTTGCACTCTGAAAATTGACAGGAAAGGAGAGAGATGGTCCAAAATTTCCCGTACTTTTAAAGTTGTAGTCTTGATACTTTGAATTAGCCTGGATTTTGTCACTCTTTTGCATTTTGGGGAAGATTAACAAAAAGTTCTTTATGCCGGGCGGTGGTGGCGCACGCCTTGAATCCCAGCCCTTGGGAGGCAGAGTCAGGCGGATCTCTGTGAGTTCGAGGCCAGCCTGGGCTACCAAGTGAGTTCCAGGAAAGGCGCAAAGCTACACAGAGAAACCCTGTCTCGAAAAACCAAAAAAAGAAAAAAAAAAAAAAAAAAAAGAAGTTCCTTATGGGTACCATTAGTGGATGAAGATGATGCATGGTAGCATAATCATTTGCTTTCAGTTCCTTGTTGCCAAAGACTTAGTCACAATAAATGTCCAGTGTTCATAGACTCAGACCGCTTCCTTAATAGTTCTAGTTAACACATCTGGGATGCCTTTCTTCTTATGAATGGATAGTAGTAAAATATCTTTGGCTTCTGCTAACATTATGAATGGTAGCCACCGTGACTAGTACCTTCCCCGGGCTGGCTGTTGCCTCTGACCTGGATTTGTTTCTGCCATGAGGGTAGCAATAGCAGAGGGAGGACACTGCTGAGGGCGGCTAGGCTTCTGGAAACTCCCTCTGCCTCACCATGCAATAACCGATTGGTGAGGAAGCCAAATTCCCCAAACTAGAATTTTCTGTTTAGTTGATTGTTTAGTTTTCTTGATTAGTGAAGGTGTTTTTGTTCTCCCCAAAATGAAGTTTTCCATCCAAACCAAGAGGAGAGTATGGGTTTTCACTGTTGGCAAATGTCTTGTTACAATGAACAGCATCTTCAAGGACACATTGTCCCCCCCGCCCCCCCGGAACAGGCTAGAGGGTCTCTCAAATGAGAATCGAACATGATGGCAAGTTCTCCAAACTCTAGAGAAGTCGCGGTCAGTTTATATAGGACAGATGTTTCTAATTTGAGAGTGTCTGCCTGGCTAGCTTGTAAAAGGCCCGTCTACTTGCCATAGACATATCACGCTTAATCAAATGTTTTCTCACCCAGCGAATATTCGGAGAATGATGAGAACTATGTGGAAGTGGCTCTGATTTTCGACCCAGTCACAAGGGAGGATCTGACAACAGATTTTAAATGTGTTGCCAGGAATCCATGGAGTGTTCAGTCACTCCATACCACAGTCAAAGAAGGTATGTATCTGGGGGATACTGAAAGGAAAACCCATTTGTTGAATGCTGGACAGAGCTGCACACTGATGAACCTCAAGTGTGTGTGTGTAGTGTACATACATGTTCATGTAGGGGTGTGCATATGAGTGTAGGGGTTAAAGATGGATGCTGGATGTCTTCCTCAATTGCTCTCCACCTTGTATTTTTTGGGACAGAGTCTCCTACTGGATATAGAGCATATTGATTTGGCTAGGCCGGTCAACCAGTAAGCTCCAGGGATCTGCCCTTCTCCACCCACGCAGTTGAGGTTATAAATGTTTGCACCCAGCTCTTACATGGCTGCTGGGAATTCAAACTTAGGTCTTCATGTCTGCACAGCAGACACTTCACTAAGATAGTTCCCCATTCCAAAACCTCTTTTTTTGACACATGTATGTGTTGTAAGTGCACATACGTATGTGTGTTCATATGAGTGCATATGCAAGGGTAAGTGTGTGTGTGTGTGTGTGTGTGTGTGTGTGTGCGCGCCAGAGACTGAGTTTTCTTTAACCACCCCCACTTTATTTACTTAGGCAGCATCTCTCACTCTAACCCAGAGCTCATTGCTTGTAGGAGTGTAGCTACTCAGCCAGCTCCAGGATTCCCTTTTTCTCTCTCCTGGGTACTGGGATTATAAGCAAGCTGCCATGTCTACCCTGCATATATGTAGGTGCTGGGACCTGCAGTCTGGTCCTCATGTTTGTGAAGGTAAATACTTCATTTACTAAGTCACTGTCCTGACCTCCAAACCTCTACTCTGAAAAAGAATTGTCAGTAGGGCGGACATTCGGCATTGGGAAATTATACTTAGATAAAAAGAAAACTAAGTTGCAATGATTTTTAGCAAACACACAGAAATCTGCAATGAACTGAATACCCTGTGTCCTCTTGGGGCTGTGCCTTGAATCACCAGGGTTTGCTGACCAGACATCTCACATGGTCTCTAGAAGGTGATACATCATTCTTTATCTTGAACTTGACGTTGAAAATCTCTACCCTGCTTTGTGAGGACCAGGGTTTCAGGGCAGCTGTAAGGTCAAAGCCACCAAACAACAGGAAATAAATGTAGTATACAAGGACATTTAAAAGAGACAGAAAACAAACCTCAACAATTTAATCTGATTGTTTGAATGGCTAGGAGGAAAGTGAGGTGCAGTTAATATAGTTTCTGTTGACAGCCCCAGGATACACTAACCTGCAGGTCACAGTCACTCTGGAGAGGAATCTAAATGCAGCCTTTGGAGCAGGCTACACCAGTCAGTGAAAGGCCTTTGTTCCACATCAGTTTGCATGCCCGGGGAGACAGCTGTAGACGTACTTTAAATTGGGAAGATGATGATTTGGCCAAACCTCGGAATGGTAACTGATGCTAAGTACATCTCCATCTGAGCTCTGTACCCTGCCAGCATCCACCCACCCGGACCTCTATTAGACCATAGGTACATCTATTGCCTCATCCAGGTACCTCCTCCATACACATTCTCCTGAGCTGCCCCAGATTGCAACTACCCTGGCTCCTTCCAGCTTGAATAATGGATAACTAGAGCTTGTGTGTCTGGGGTAGTGTCTCAGGTCATCCCAGTGCCGTTCAAGTTGGGAGGGACTTGGTGATGTATAGATTTGGAAATCAGAGTCCCACAGAAAGTGGCTTCCTAATCTGGGGATCAGATTAACGAAGGAACCTGAACTGTGTGTGGTCCCTGCCCTGGAGTCCTTTTACATGTTGGATCACCAGGCCATAAACTTAGTGTGTTTGTCCCTGGGGAGGCTGTGGCTGCTTCTCAAGAGCACATTAGGATTGAGAGATACACACAACTTGTTTCTCAGAACAAGTTGCAGCTTCAAATAGTTCTCATCCATGTGGAATTGTAAGCTAGTGTGAGAATCCCCCATAGAACTGGCTTGAGATCCTATTAATTCCTGAGCAGGGCATGGCAAATAATAGCTCCAACTGTGTTATCTGACGCTGGGGAGAAGTTTAGCAGGTGAAGTGGACCTGAGTTCAGATGCCAGGCATCCATGTAAAAAGCCAGCAATGATAACATGCACCCATAATCACAGTGGTGGGAGGAGGGGCAGAAGGATCCTGGGACTCACTGGCTAGTCAATCCATCCAGGAGATGAATCGAAGTTCAGCGAGAGACCCTGCCTAAAAACGTAAAATGGAGAGTGATAGAGGAAGACACCCAAGTTAGTCCCTGGTCTCTGCACACACATACACATCCACCTACACATCCCCACATATGCCCACCCGCACTGACCCTACAATCCCCTCCACATGCACATCTACCTCCATGCATGCCCATATATATACACCCATACACATACCCTAGAACTATCACACTTCACACACACACACACACACACACACACACACACACACACACACACATACACACACACGTGTGTGAATACCCCTACAAATGTGGAATCCTACATACCTATAGCCCTAGTCCTTGAACTGAAGCGAGGGGGACTCAAGAGTTTGAGGTCCTCCTGGGCTCCATCTTTTTTAGACTCTATCTCAAAAAAAAATGTAGTGGAATTCTGGCTTTCTCAACATGATATCTCATAACACTATTTTCATAGACACTTTATTATTGTATTCCCAATCTCTTCTTGTCCATAACAGAGATGTCTAGCAATCAAATATACAATAACTGAACCCAAGAAATAGTCTTGGCATCCAAAGTTCTTTACCCAAAAGTTTCTTGTCTTTGCTTCTATTTCCCATTTAATCCCCATGACACCTGAGGTCACTGGCAAGGCACAGATTGTCCCCTGGCACATCACAGACAACTAATGGAGACAAAAGCAAGCTCCATCTTACATGCACCGCCCACAGCTGATACAGCCCCATGGCCTCGGCTCCTTACTTTGTGACGTCCGTCCTTTAATCAGGGTTTGCCCACCTTGCTTGTTCTCTGATGTCACAGACGTCATCCTCAAATGGCTTTGGCTTTGGTGTAAGACACAAACTTCCTAGAAATCAGTGCACATTTATCAAAGAAAGCAAACTCTAATTTGTTTCTTCCCTGCTGCCCTGTGCTGCCCTGTGCTGCCCTGTTCTGCAGAGAGATGTTCCCTCTCACACCCTGTCTCCTCTCTACAGTCTCCTCCACATTCTCCTGGGGCATTGCGCTGGCACCCCTATCGCTGGTCTTCCTGGCTGTGGGGGGAATATGGATGCACAGACGGTGTAAACAGAGGGCTGGAAAGACATATGGACTGACCAAGCTACGGACTGACAACAAGGACTTCTCTTCCAGCCTAAACCAAATAAAGGAAATGAAATAACACAAGGCTGACCTGTGTCGTCTCTTATGGAGGTGACTGTGCCATTTAGAGGTTCTGGTTTTTCCTCTGTTGCTTAGCAAAGCTCCTTGTTTGTAGCAGATGTTGGAAGTCCACACTGTACACTTCTTGAAAATCAGTGCCCGGAGCAACCGCGTAGGGAATAGGGGAAGCCCCGCCCTTTGTGGTCCACAGATGAGAACAAGGCATGAGGAGCCACAGCAGCTGTAGAGGTCTTGTGGAGCATGTGCCCACTGGGCCCAATCCTTAGTACAGTAACTTCCTTTCTCACCCCTCCAAACAACCACTAAAACAGGAGCCATTAGTCTTGAATAAGAGCAAAAACCCTCCAGCATACTTTGAAAGTCCAGTCACTCTTTTAATTAAAGTGTGCTAGAAGTCTGTTTGGTTAGGCTGATGGGACCTACTGGAGGTACAAAGATGCTTAAGGTGTAATGTGCCTTTAGAAAGGGCAGCTTTAATTTGGATTCTGGAAGGATGATGTAGAAATACTCAAGCAGGAGAGTCAGTAAGCATTAGTGATTCAAAATTAGCAATTATCTTTTGCAGCAGATAGAAACCACCACAAGAATCCTCAATTGGTCAAAACTGCAGAGAACAACTGCCTGTCGAGGGCCTATCTCCAACTGATCCATCTGCAACACAGTTCCTAGACCAAGGCTCAAAGAACATCTCAGAGAGGGAGTAAAGATTGTGAGAAACAGAAGTCCGGGGCATCTGCTCTGAGGCAGTGTCTTCTAGACATGATGAGAAAGTGGCACTTATGAAATATCAAAAATATGCTCTTCTAAACAGGACCTGAACATGGCAACAGTTGATGGGGGCATTTCACAAGTCTCTATCCCTACATGAAGAGCCACAGCTAATTAATGGCTGCGGAGGGAAGGAGAATCAGTCTTCTCCAGGGCTGAGCTCCCAGTAGGTTACCCAGTCCCACGTGGTCAGCTCTGAACACATACACATATGAGCAACACTAAATGAACTCAGCAGGTTATATATAGGCATATGCACATACATACACATACATATAAAATAATAACTAAAATTTTGGTCATGAATTTGAGAGGGAGTTGGGGCACAGAAGGAGCAGAATGAGGGAGAGGGTGGGAGATATAATGAAAATACAGTACTCATATATGAAATTCTCAAAAAAAAATGTAAAGAACAAAAGAACAACAAAATATAGCTTGCTTAAAAAATTCACTAATTTTTTTCACAAACAATGGAGTAGTTTAAACTTTAAAGTTACTTAGCTGGGAGGCCTCATTCTTAGTATGCTTTGCTACTGTCTTAGTTTGATTTCTGTTGTTATGATAAAACCCAATGACCAAAAGCAACTTGGGAAGGAAAGGGTTTGTTTGGCTGGCCGGTTGGAGTCCATCACCAGGGGAAGCTAATGCAGGACTCAGGCCAGGAACCTGCAGGCTGGAAATAGCAGAGACCACGGAGGAGCGCTGCTTATTGGTTTGCTCCTTAGGGTCACATCTAGCTCCCTTTCTTATACCTCCAAGGACCACCTGCCCAGGGATGGCACCACTCACAGTGGGCTGGGCTTTCCCCATCAATCATTAATCAAGGTAATTTGCCTACAGGTCATTCTGATGGAGGCATTTTTCTTCAGTAGATGTTCCTCTTCCCAAATAACTCTAGCTTGTATCAAGTTGACAAAAAAAACCAACCAGGACAACTATTGTAACAAATTACAATAAATAGGGAGGCGCTTATAAACAACGGGAGTTCATTTTTACAGTTCCGGAAGTTGGGAGTTCAAGATCATCATGCTGGTGCTTCCTGGTACACAGAGAGCTGCCCTAAGAACAATTTCCTTCCAGTGGCCCCGCCTCACAACACCATTCTGTTGAGGGTTAGAATTTCAACATAGGAATGTTAGGAAGACACAAGCTATCTGGTAGTGCCCACACCCTTGTCAATGTGAGAACATGGGTAGGAGACACACACACACAAAATGCTTGTGTTAGTGATCATCAGATGTAAACTAACTTTGAGTTACCTGCATGCTTACACCCTATCCCGTGTTAAAGAGTAAGGTCCAGGTTTTTTGGATTCAGACACTCCTACACCCCATAGTTCCTTTAGTAATTTGAGAACAGGAAAAAGGCAGTATAGATAAAGCCAGTGAGGTGCTGGGGTCAACTTGAACATGTTTCCAAGAACCAAGTATCTCTTTCCTTTTTCGCTCAGTGACGTCACGTTGGTAATGTAGAGCCATTGTGAGTTTATTTCACCATAAAAAATGGCAAATGCCACAAACAAGCACTTTCCTTCCCCTCCCCAGCTGCCACAAAGATTAGACAGGCTCCAAGAGGTGCTAGTAGTGCTACTCCTAGCAATTTAACTCAGGGAGTTGATTAGAGATATACAATTGAGTGTCCTCATGATAAAAAATTATGCATCAATTATCATTATAATTGCCCATATTGTAAGACAAAGAGAATGTTAATGGAAAATTATAAAGTGTTTGGCATGATCCTTGGAGTTCTATTATGAAGGATGGTCAGAATCGGGACAGACAGATTGCAAAGGTAGCAGGGAAACCATTCAAAGCACATTGATAGCACAGATCAACACTACACTGTTAAGACTGACAGTGGTCCAAATGAGTGAAGTCTTTAAAGGCCTGACTGTTTTTCCAGGACTTTCTTGTATGGTATTCAAAAGAAGTTGGAAGTTTTGTTAGTAGGGCATAGTTGGAGCAATTCTCTATTTTGATTTACCGGTTTTGTTGCATAATCATTTCCCTTGGTGCGTCCCTTTCCTTAATGCATCTGATTATAATCATCTGCACACCCAATTATGCATATGCATAAGATGGTAAACAGAGGCTTCTTCCCAGGAGTTCACTTAGGGACCCAGTTTTGCATCGTTTCAAAATGCATCCAAAACCAATCTAGCCTGGATTGGCGCTCGACCTTCATACCTAGACAGAAGCAGAGCATGAATAAATAGAATCTAAGTTTGCTGGTCATAAGAGAAGGGAGAACACACTCCATTGTTCAGAGTCAGGTGTGTGCACATAGCTGGATTCAGGTTTGGGTCCCAGGTTGCTGAAGGGTTGCTAGGCGCATTGTTTGGAGTAGGGTGGGTGCATAGGCTGAACCAAGTGGAGTTCCAGGTGACTAAGCTATTCCCCATGCTTGACTGCCTTCCTCACAATGCTGTTAAACTGCATCTAGACAGAGATGGAAGTTGGAAATAAGGAATTGAAAGAGAGCTATGTGGGCTCAAGCAGTGGCCTGTGTTAGCTTTGTGATCCTGGGCAAATCTTTTAATCTTGCAGGCTACCACTTTGCTCATTTGAAAAGTTGGGATGATAACAAAAGCTCTATTAACGATTTAGCTGTATTTGGTATATTTATACCTTTCCTTTTTAAAACATAAAAGTCAAACACAGGAAGCACCAACAGAAATCAGAACGGCTGCTTTGTGTAGGCTACACACAAGCCAACCACAGAGTGCCAGCAGCTCCGGTCTGCCGTTGATTTGTGTACATTACTTCCTATCAGAATGTAGCCGTGCCTGCATGTGTATGGATTGTCACTGGCTGTCTTTGCTCTTTGCAGACAGAGCAGCTCAAACAGTAAAGCCTGAAACATTTACTATCTGGCCTTTAGCAGAGAGAGTTTAACAACCACTGATTTGGACCAAGGGGAACCAGGACCAATTTTGACTTTTATTTTGACATTTCCCCGTTGTTATCTCCTCTTGCCTTGTCCCCCTGTTTTCCAAACATTTGAGAGGGAGAAGAAACAGGCAGAGGAAGCAGAGGCTTTTGAGCATCTAGGCTTTCCCTGTGAAGGCAGAGCATATGGATTGAAATGGAAGAACCAGGCAGCCTATCGCAAGCCGCTAGGGCAGCAGGGGCTTGGGCTCTGTGTACCCTTCATTAGTCCCTTCAGCTCCCGGGGTCCCCACCTGCAGATTTTGGCAGCTTCAGAAATGATCCTAGAAAAGAACCTGACCATGACTAGAAGGAATTGCCGGCTATTATTCAGACTCACGTGACCATGCCTTGAACATACTGCCTTCAAACTATGTTCCTCAAGCATTAGAAGAATATGAGACAGGGGTTCTAAGCACCTTGTATTCATGTCAAAGAAGAAGCATGATGAGGTCAATACATTAAAAGGGAAAAAAAGAGCTGTTATCTTTCTACTTTCTTTTTTTTTTTTCGAGACAGGGTTTCTCTGTGTAGCTTTGGTGCCTGTCCTGAATCTCGCTCTGTAGACTATGCTGGCCTCGAACTCACAGAGATCCACCTGGCTCTGCCTCCCAAGTGCTGGGATTAAAGGCGTGCGCCATCACTGCCTGGCTGAGCTGTTACCTTTCTAAAAGACATAGTGCATTAAGGACAGTATTTTAGGTGGAAGAATAAAAGAAATAAGATTAATCATGTGTTGACAAGTGTTATCACTGGTGATAGTTGTCGTGGGCCTTTCCATGCCATCCTGTCTATTCCTGTATAAGTCTGAAATTTTCCATATTTGGAGAATAAAGTATAAGGTAGAACCAAGTCAGGTATCTACTCGGCAAGAGGCAGGTATGTAAGCTGCAGTGAGTAGGGTGGTGGGCTTACACAATGGGAGAATAAAGAAGTCACTATAATAGACAAATGGCATGCAACAGTATCATTGGGTCTTAGAAGTATGTTAATGAGTGAAGTCCAAGAAATATCCATTCACACCATGCTGCTCTTCTAGGGAAAGCAGGAACAATGAAATTGGACATTTGCATTTTCTCTCTCTACTTTTTCTTTCTCTGTTTGTATACACACACATGTACAGACACATGTCTACAATGAGTACAGTTTTGTCATGCATATATTTCTAAATACAAATATGTGCATGTGTGAAGAGTGATTGTGTCAGCCAACAAGTCGGGGTTCAATGGTTGGAAAGACATAGACAAAATAGGAAGACATCAGGTTCATCAAGTTCTCATTCTCACATTGGGTAGTGGACTAT